GAAGACTTCCAGACACTCACCTTTTGGCTAGCAAGTTGGACATGCTGCTGGAGAGTGGTCGATTTATTCCTTTCAATTCATGAATATTAGATTGTTAGCCTGCTAGCATTTTATGTTTACGTAGGACACAGTGGTTTTGTGTGTAATTTATGTAGTAGAACATAACATGAAAGTTTGGTCAAGTAATGCTAATCACAGACATATCAAAAAAATTTTGTGTGTTTGGACAAACTGGACAGTTGAATGTTTGTACTTTGCTAAATTTGGGAACAAAGCTAATAACTAGCATAAAACAGTTGTTCAAAGGCAACCAAAAGAGCTTTGTGAGAGGTGCAAACTGCTACAAACCTGGTCAGAAGGCGTCCAGAGGTTATTAGCTAGCAAGTTGGATATGCTAGAACACAGGTGATTTATTGCTTTCAATTCGCAAATAGTAGTTTGTTGGCTTGTTAGCATCTTGTGTTTACAAAGTACACAGCAGTTCTGCGTTTAATTTATGTTGTAGAACATAACATTATAGTCCGTTCAAGCAATGCTAATCACAGACATGACTACAATTCAGTAGAACAAACTGGACAGCTCAACTTTTGTACTTTTACTTCATGTAAGTTCACCAAACAAGCTGCCTCTTTTATGTCAAAACATTGTGCACCCTCACCAAAAGACAGTGCTCTTGTTTTCAAGCTAAGGTACGTTTGGAGTCCCCCATGAGTACAGCACATGTGTCATTGCTGGGAAATACCTTGTGTGTAAAGCTTTTGGACTATCGTCTATTCAAACGGAAACTTGGCAACAATCTCGCTGTGAACCACTTAAGAAGCTCACTGATATTTACAGTCTGAATACCATAACAGACGATAAGTCTTTTAAAAACACAGAGTCTGACATCTGCAAAGCTGGACGATACAGATGGGTTCATAAAAAAATTGACTTTATATGGAGCAGTCGCAGCAAGTCCATTCGGTAGGCCTCCTAGCATGTCTTTTTCCCAAAAACGCTTATCTTCTGATTGGCTGAGGTTGACTAAAAACCCTGCCTGAACAGCAGATATTCATCTTTACAATGACAGTATGACATAACAAATAGGAAGTGGTCAAAAAAGCTCATTGTGTTGCAAAAAGATATTATTCATGCAAAGATGTAGAAAATGTGGAAAGATACCATTGAAGCTGGATTCTTTTGAAAGCGATGACCTAGCAACAACCTTAGCAACCATATTGCACAAAAAAAGTTTTCTGTGAAATGTAAAAAATTCAGTTCTTTGTTACTGTATCACTTCTGTAAGTGCATGGAAACTTCAACTTTGTCCATTTTTAATAGTTCCATGTCTATGCAAATCGAGCTCTTTTCCATATCCTCTTTAGCACTGTATAAGGCCTTGGCTCTAATCCCGTACACATATCTATATTTGCATCTCATTGACTAAATGAATGGAAACATGCATAGTTCTGATGCCACACTGGTGACAGAAACAATCCACTCTATTTGTGCTGTTCAGGGATGTGTTCTCTTTCTAGCACCTATGGCTCAAAACCAGTATTTCATGTTCAAACTGAATAGGATCAGGTGAATTACACAGTGCATTATGACTATGACAAATGCATATTTCATTACTGAAAAGCTTCAGAATTCCCCCCCCCCCCATCTGTGTTCTAAGACAAATGCATGAGGTTTTGAAGATGATATATAACATGAAAAATATATATATATATATATATGTGTGTGTGTGTGTGTCTGTGTGTGTGTATAATGTAAATTTGTATAGATGTTTTTATGCTATATAGTATATAGTCACACACCTTTTTTATATTTTTATAATACATTTTAGATCATACAAATTTATATTGAAATTTGTATTTATTTTAAAAAAAAAACATGCACACGTTATTGCATATCTATATATTATATATCTACAATTACATAATTTTTTTACAATTTACATTTCAGGCCATAAAAAATGTATGTTGAAATTTGTATTAGTTGTGTGTGATATATACAGTATGTGTGTGATGTATAATATAATTATATCAATATGTATTTACTATTACACACACATATACATATATATATATAACTCACATATGTACATATAAACTTATAAATATGGAACGCATATAAACACACACACACACACACACACACGTTATCCAAGTTTTACAGATCTTGTACTTGCAAGCAAAGAAAATCTGATCTGCACAAAGCTCACATGCTCAATATCACAAATTTATCACCTGAGATGAGAAATGCACTTGTGGGATGTGGTTGCACCCTTATATATATATATATATATGTGTGTGTGTGTGTCTGTGTGTGTGTATAATGTAAATTTGTATAGATGTTTTTATGCTATATAGTATATAGTCACACACCTTTTTTATATTTTTATAATACATTTTAGATCATACAAATTTATATTGAAATTTGTATTTATTTAAAAAAAAAAACATGCACACGTTATTGCATATCTATATATTATATATCTACAATTACATAATTTTTTTACAATTTACATTTCAGGCCATAAAAAATGTATGTTGAAATTTGTATTAGTTGTGTGTGATATATACAGTATGTGTGTGATGTATACACACACACACACACAACAATATATACAACTATATCATAAAGGAAAATTGCATATAACCATATACTGTAAATACTATTATATATAACTATCATAAAAATGTATATTGAAAATTATATTTGTCATTTATTTTCTTTTTTATGCCGATACCACCTTTATATATGAAAAAAGTGTAAAATATAAATATTTTATACATTCATTGTCAATATTTACATAATTATATAATATAATTATATCAATATGTATTTACTATTACACACACATATACATATATATATGTGTGTAACTCACATATCTACATATAAACTTATAAATATGGAACGCATATAAACACACACACACACACACACACACGTTATCCAAGTTTTACAGATCTTGTACTTGCAAGCAAAGAAAATCTGATCTGCACAAAGCTCACATGCTCAATATCACAAATTTATCACCTGAGATGAGAAATGCACTTGTGGGATGTGGTTGCACCCTTTTAAACCTGACATTTAAACTGCATCAGACATGAGTTCGCATTTCTCATCTAGTCATGCAGTTTGTCATGCAAATAGTTACTGTGCAGCCGTTCTACTAAACCAGCGATGAAGGATGCTTTTGGCAAACACTAATGCATTAAGCTCCGCTCTTAGAGAACTTACAGATGGCTAAAAGCGGTTAGTCTGTCAGCTACAAAAATGTTGATCTAATTTAGCACTTTAAAGTCAAGGTTTCAACACACAAGTTTATCTTGTCACAGATGTTTACTCTTCCACCACAGCACTGTATGTTTATCGGCGAGGCCCTTGAAACACATGAAATGTGATCTACTGCTCTTTTTCTTCAGGAAATGCATTTTTCGGTATCATCTAGTAGCCTGATGCTTACAGTCAGAAGCAAAAATGGCACAGATTGCAAGTGCCATATATATATATATACTTGCAATTATCGCTGGGTTTTACACATCCAAAGTAATTAAAACCCAGCGATAACACAAACTTGTGAGCTTTTTTTAGAAACGAGTTTCTACAAATAAAGCATTCCTTTGGTTTCCATAAATAGAAGCATGTGGAATGCTGGTTGGGTGCAAACCAGTTTGTTTAGTACTTTTTGTCTGAGACGGATATTGCGTTAACATCCTTAAGTTACAGACGTGACAGACGTGACATATTGTTCATCTCGAAACGCACACATGTTCCTATTCTTTCTTTTTACTACTTTGCACATTTTGTAATAAAAACAATCATCAAAATGAATTAATAAAACAAAGGTAATTATGATACACACACACACACACACACCTATATATCTTTATCTATCTATCTACTGTATATATATATATATATATATATATATATATATATATACATATACATATACATACATATTATATACACATATATATATACTTGCAATTATCGCTGGGTTTTACACATCCAAAGTAATTAAAACCCAGCGATAACACAAACTTGTGAGCTTTTTTTAGAAACGAGTTTCTACAAATAAAGCATTCCTTTGGTTTCCATAAATAGAAGCATGTGGAATGCTGGTTGGGTGCAAACCAGTTTGTTTAGTACTTTTTGTCTGAGACGGATATTGCGTTAACATCCTTAAGTTACAGACGTGACAGACGTGACATATTGTTCATCTCGAAACGCACACATGTTCCTATTCTTTCTTTTTACTACTTTGCACATTTTGTAATAAAAACAATCATCAAAATGAATTAATAAAACAAAGGTAATTATGATACACACACACACACACACCTATATATCTTTATCTATCTATCTACTGTATATATATATATATATACATATACATATACATACATATTATATACACAGACACACACACACACAGAAGCACAAGAAAATTGTTATAATCATACAAGAAAAAAATGTAACTATATATTGTAAATATATTTATACACACACCTTATTTTATATTCCATTTTATATCATAATTTTTTTTTATTTATATTAATAAATAAAATGTATTAATTTTTTTATTATATCATTATGTGTGTGTGTGTCTGTAGAAACTGTTTGTTTTTTTTAATTCTAGTAAAATTTCCCAATTATAAAGCAGCAGCAAGTAACACACTGAATTAAATGTGAAATGTTTAATTATAAAGACTGAAATAGTAGTTTTAACATTAATACTGTTCAAACAGTATCGTTGAACTTTGAAAAAGCATTTTTGTATTGGCCTATATTAAGTTTTATAGTAATTTCATAGATATTATTCTTAATTTAATGCATTCCAAGTCAAAAGTTCAGCATGATTATTTGAGAAAGAGCTGCAGTGATCCTGCCAACAAGACTTTCACACAGAAACACTGATGCAGGACAACCAATCAGATGCTTCCCCTGCTGATAAGGCCCCGCCCAAAGCTCAGAAAAGGGTATAAAAGCCACACACTGCAAGACACAACATGTTTCAGTTCAATTGATAGTGATGGTTAGACTGGCAAAAATGAGAAAGTCCACATCAGATTCGAGCTTGGAGCGTTTGATCTACTGCAGGAACCCTGCCACGACTACGGGACAGAAAGAGATGAAGTGAGACTCACATTTGATCGCTTTGTATTTGGTTTTACTAGGGGCAATTAACCTGTGGTCTCTAATGTTTGTTGATTATAATTAACAGACAAACAAACTGGAGATCAAGAATGCTTTTCAAGACTTTTCCCGTGAGAGAATCACGCCACACATTGCCACAGAGGAAATCATATGGGTGAGCATGAAAAATACTTATATGCATAAATCACTATATGTATGTACTAAAGTGGGATCATGGATTTCTTCAAAAGTTGCATTAAATTAAAATCTAAAATTAAAATAAACTAATATATAATTGCTTATATTAAAATTAAATAACCTCTCTCTTTATATTCCCACAGGCCAACTACTGAAGAAGTGACTCAATGGGCACAGTCTCTGGACAACTTGCTGAGCAGCAAATGTAAATATTATTTCTATTTATGAATTTCATGTTCATCTTTGTAATATTTTATAGTATTTTTATCATTTATAAAAATATATTGTATGCATTACAATATTTATTATAACATTCATATAATTAATATTTATCAAGTTTTTTTATGGTTAAGAAAAATGGTTACATTTTCATATTATTTTATAATTTATATTATTATAGTTTATAATTTATTTTATATTATAAAATACATAATTTATAAAAAATATAGAATTCCTATTTATCTGAGCTTAACCACAATTAACTATATATATATATATATATATATATATATATATATAAATAATGTTCATTTTCATTAATATTACAGACACACACTAATTTTTTTTTATATACAAGTAATTTTTTATTTAAGGTTGGAAATGCACCACATTATTTAACGACAACTGATGTAATTAATCAATATTTTCATATTTCAGGTGGATTTACCTCTCTGCGGCTGTTCATGAAGTCTGAACACTGCGAGGAGAATATCGAGTTCTGGATGGCCTGTGAAGAGTTCAGAAAGATCAGGTCCAGATCAAAACTCAAATCCAGAGCAAAAACCATATACGATGAGTTCATCAGGGCAGATTCTCCAAAAGAGGTGAGGTCTAGTCAGTTCCAGCAAAGCTGATATTCTGTTTTCATTAAGCCGCGCCACACATTCTCATTTCTTTCACTTCTTCCTTCTCTAGATCAACCTGGACTTCCACACAAAGGAGTCCCTCCACCAAAGCCTTCTGATCCCAATACAGTCCAGTTTCAAAGCTGCCCAAAACAGAGTTTACTTCCTGATGGAGCACAACTCGTACCCTCGGTTCCTGGACTCTGAACTCTATCAGCAGCTCTGCAGAATCGCTGCAGGGGAGCGATAATGTGTTTAAAGGAATGGCCGGTCCGTTTCAGAATGCTGCGCATCTAGTGGTTCATGTAGTGATTGTGCTACTATGATTTCAGTGTATTTAATATTGCACATTTTGCACAGATTTGTAAATAGTCAGGTATTGGTATTGAGTGTTCACGTAACGTTGTATCTATGTTCTGAGGTTTACTTGTTACTTTTTTTTGCTTTTCAATGAAAGAGTCAATTTGGATGAAATCACTTCTAATTGTTATTCATCACTTTCTGGATTTTGGGGGCACTGCTATAGAAAAAGAATAAGCAAAAAGTGTATAAATGTTTACCGACTTTACTCACATTCTCATTTCTTTCACTTCTTCCTTCTCTAGATCAACCTGGACTTCCACACAAAGGAGTCCCTCCACCAAAGCCTTCTGATCCCAATACAGTCCAGTTTCAAAGCTGCCCAAAACAGAGTTTACTTCCTGATGGAGCACAACTCGTACCCTCGGTTCCTGGACTCTGAACTCTATCAGCAGCTCTGCAGAATCGCTGCAGGGGAGCGATAATGTGTTTAAAGGAATGGCCGGTCCGTTTCAGAATGCTGCGCATCTAGTGGTTCATGTAGTGATTGTGCTACTATGATTTCAGTGTATTTAATATTGCACATTTTGCACAGATTTGTAAATAGTCAGGTATTGGTATTGAGTGTTCACGTAACGTTGTATCTATGTTCTGAGGTTTACTTGTTACTTTTTTTTGCTTTTCAATGAAAGAGTAAATTTGGATGAAATCACTTCTAATTGTTATTCATCACTTTCTGGATTTTGGGGGCACTGCTATAGAAAAAGAATAAGCAAAAAGTGTATAAATGTTTACCGACTTTACTTTTTTTTATCAGTTAATATTGAATTATTCATGCTCATTTTCCCCAAATTTTGTTTTTTACATTTAGATTTACATTTTTTTAACCCTTTCTATCTAGCACTCACTGAAAGTTAATCTCTAAAAAACACTAATCATAATAATAATAAAAATACAAATATATTTGGATTAAATCGTTTGTCATTCTATTACACTGTAAATATAGATTTTTTTCAAAGCTGTAAATAAAACAAAGATTATTGGAGTATATTTTACAGGAAAACACTATTTCATTCTTTCTACTTCTTCAAAATGCAAAGTTTAAATTAATGTGCTATTTGTCAATTCTCTGTAATTATTTGTGAAATTTACTAGCAATTTCTGAGTGATTTTTTTTTCTACACTATTTATTTAAGTGTAACTTTCTGATTTATTTAGGGGGGAATATGCAACCAAAAATGATACGTAGGCCTATGTGTATACGGTAATTACATCCTGCAGTTATTATATTTATCATAACGGTTCATATCACATGTTTAAAGGCAAAATATGTACGATTTTTTTAATTAAAATATCCAAAAACCACTAGAACAGTGTTATATATTTAGCCGACTTGTGTACTTACATTATCCCAAATGTTTCAATCCAGAGAAATAAGCAATTTTAACTAGTGACGCGGAGCGTGTCCATAGTGACTGCCAATGACATCATAACCCCTCGATTTCCGGTTTTGTAGAAAAAAAACACTAAAGACGCTTTGATATGTTGTGCGTTTTAATAAACCGGTGACGACCGCACAGAGTAGCATTATAACAGAACTTTCAAATGCATCTAGTATGATAAAACAGCGCTGCTTTACCCCACATACGCACGACCGGAAG